TCCTGGGGCGCCTGGGTGGCTCGGACAGTTAAGAGTCTGCCTTAGGCTCAGGTCATGATCTCCAGGTTCTGGGATTGAGCCCCGCATTGGGCTCCCTGCTCAGCAGCGAGTCGGCTTCTCCCTCTTCCTCTGCCCCTCCCCACTGCTCCTGCTCTCTCTCTTGCTCTGTATCTCTGTCTCAAATGAATAATAATAAAAAAAATTCTTTAAAAAGAAAAAAAAAGACCAGTCTCCTAACACACTCTCAAGGCTCTGTCCTCTGTCTGCTCCCAGATGTGCTTAGATTCAAACTCAGGGCCTTTGCACAGGCTGCTTCCTCTCCTTAAAGCTCCTCCTCTCCTCTTGGCCTCCTTGTTCTGTCCTTCAGGTCCCTCCTTGAATGGCATTCTGTGCCCCCGCTGAGCCTCTAGCCCCCTGGAGTTTCTCTTGCGAGCACTATTGTCACAGTCACAGGCCATCTGTGCTGTTGTTGGTTTGGGATTTGTTTCCCTTCGAGGACTGTAGGCTCCGTGAGGGCAGGGCCACGCCTGTCTTGGGCGCTGCCGTCTCCCCAGCTTAGTGTCTGGCACACGGTTGTTTTCACGGACTCAGTAAATAGCTGCTGTGGGAAGGAGCAAAATAAAAAACAGGTGGGCAAAGGTGGGGGTCAGGCAGTTAACACCGAGGTAAACAAAATCACATGAAATCTAGAGCACATCAGAGCTGCAAGAGATGACCCGGTCCATAGCTTGTAGACCGCGTGCCCCGGCGCCCTGCGGGTTCCACAGAGGTGTCCCCCAGGTTGCTGCTCCCTATGTGTGTGCATGCATGCGCGAGCGTGGGCATGTGTGGGCACGTGTATGTGCAGGTGCGCATGTGCGTGTGCAAGTGGCAGGGGTGGGGGTCGGGAAGGTTGAAAGACCGGCAAATAGATGGATGTCAGTCAGACCCCCGTTCCTACCTCAAACAGAGTAGTTCTGCTTTTGTCCATTTATATATTGAACTTTGGCTTCTGAATTTGTTTGAAAAGAAATAAGCTTTCTGGGGAGTCTGGCTGGCTCAGTCTGTAGAACAGGCAACTTTTGATCTCAGGTGATGAGTTCAAGCCCCACGTAGAGCTTACTTAAGAAAAAAAAAAAGAAAACAATTTTTAAACATAATTCAATAAATAAAATAAAAAATACAAAAGGTTCCAGCCAAAATCAAATTTGGAAAGCGCTAGCCTGATCAAACCCCTCCTTCCTGTTTTACAAATAGATAAACTGAGGCTGAGAGAAGTAGAAGCACTTGTCCAAGATCCAAGATCACAGAATGAATGAGCCACAAGCCCAAGGACTATTCCCTGACGGCCAGCCCACTCTTCCAGGTTTGGGCAGAGCATTGCATCATTTCATCTGTGACCAGGTGGCCGAGCACCTGGACATCCTGGAGCTCATGGAAAAACTCCAGGGATCACCAAGCTTTAATCCCATCGTGTGAATCAGGAATCACTTTAGTTGCAGATGATGTGACTCCCGAGATGCACACAGTAAAAATCACAATGCAGAGCACAAGTACTCAGGGGGAAAATCCGGATGCAGAAAGCTAAATTTCCTTTGAGTTTTTCAGTTAAAATTCATTAACTACTTGCTTATTTATATTATTGTCTGGAGGTGCTTCTAGCAAACATATAGCAAGAGGCATCAAAGGTTTAGAAAACTTTGTGGGAGCAAAACTTAGAAGGGAAATAATTCTGTGCATTGGTTTCATGGTGTCTGTTTATGTGCGTGAATATGAAAAAAATTAAAAGGATTATTTCTCATATACTTTGGTGTTGGAACAGATACCTCTGGCCAATGGGGTCTCTATGGGGGAAGAAGAACCACTATTTTTCATTCTATAAAAATAAATCTTTAATTTGTTCTCTGATTACAAAAATAATAGGTACACCTGAAGAAGTAGAACACTACAGGAAAATGCACAACTTAGAAAGGGAAAGTGTTGCAATATTGTTCTCCCCCCAGCCAGAACCACAGTTAATACTAATTTGTTTCCAGACCTACTAAGTGAGTGTCAGACACCAGGAGGACAACAGTGAGCAAACACTGATGTCATTTGTGATCTCGCAGTACTCATAGTTGGGTGGGGAAGAGATATGAAGTTATCACATAGTTGTAAAGATTCAATTGTGTTTTGCATTCAAAAGGAGAGATATGAAGGCATGAAACTGGGGAAAGGGACCTTCATGAGGCCTGGGAAAGCTTTGTTGAGGTAGCCAAGATGGAGTTGGGATCTGTTAAGTATGTGAAGATGGGAGGAAAGAGTGGTCAAGGAAGAAGAAATGTCTATGCAAAGGCCCTGTGGCAGGAGGGAGACAATCAGTGTCGCAGGAGTGACTGGTTCATGGTGAGGCAGCAGAGGCATCTGGGGGTCTGTGAAGAGTATGGTAAGAATTTGTCCTAAGAGTAAAGGAAGACATAAACTTTTAAATAAAATTGAGTGTGACCAAATTTGCCCTTGATATCTATTCTTTCTGATTTGTCTTGGTGCACATGTGCATCTATTAATGCTTTAGCAGGGTGGCTTAAGCAAAAGGAATCTTTTACTGGCTCACATGGATACAGCTTGATCTAGGGCCTCAAACAACTTCCCCAGGTTCTCGCCATCTCTCAGCCTTGTCCTCTGTTCTGCTGACCATTTCCAGGCTCCTACAGCCCCAGGTACTCACACACCTGCACCGCACTGAAAAAGACTGCCTGCCGTGGCAGGCATGTCAGTTTCAGCCTTGCTCCCTGGGTACCAACCTCTGAACCAATCACTGTGGTTAGAGGAATGTGATGCTCTGATTGGTCAGGCCCAAATCACATGCTCCACAGCTTCCCCCCCCCCCCCCCCCCCCCCCAGCTCTGCGGTGGAGCACAGAGCCCGGCGAAAACCCACTCCACGTGCTGAAAGTCAGAGGCGCCCTTACCTCTGGGACTGGGGGGCAGGATTGACTAAGAGGGCACAGGGCATGTTCCAGGAGAGTTGGAAATGTTCTATATCTTGATTTGGGGGTACCTACACAGGTGTGTATGTACACAAATAAACATTGAATTGACACTTAAGATGTACACACTTCACTGTATATAAGCCATACCAACGTTCAAAAGTCCCTGGCTAGAGCATGGGGAAGAAAATTCGGGATACTGTTACCAAAAGAAGGGTGAATGGACGTTCCCTATAATATAGGAATACATGTGTATGAACATATAACACGTAGATGATTTTTGACTTGGTGTGGACATCACAGTGCACCCTCTTATGTCATAGTGTTTGCTTGATAAATCTTGGGCATTTTACTATGACGACCACCGCTTTATGCCACAGATTTCATTTCAGAAGTACTTTATTAAGCAAATGAGCTTGTCTCCTCAGCACTGCTTGCAGGAAGGGGCACCCCAGAATCCTGCCGGCAACCAGCCCCCTGAAACAACCCATTGCCTGCAGAGGGGAGGTGCTTGCATTGTCAAGGACCTCGGGCTTTGTTATGCACATTGGCTTTGGCCCGCCAGAGCTGGGCCCCCCTCTCTCTCTCCGTTTGGACCCTCTTGTTTTCCCTCTCTCAAATGCGCCCTGCTAAAGGGAATACATTCTTACTCATGCTAGGTTGGTAATGATGGTAGCTTCTAGAGTGCCTCTTCATGCCGCAAGACACCTTATTTTTTCTTTACAGTGAAAATAGTGATACATCTAAAAGAGTCTCTCCCAGAACGCGGGGGAATGGTTGGGAATGGCACTCTGGCTCCAGACATAGGGACTGAAGTCTCCTCTTCCCGTTGGCCACCTGCAGTCCCTTGGGCATCTTATTACCTCTCTGCACCTTACTTTCTCCTCTCCTGTGGAGAGGCTAGCAGAGAGAGGATTAGAGTGCCTGGCACGCAGGTTTATATGTGTTGGTTACAACAGAACGGTGCGGCCGGCAGCCTTGGGAGTGCATGAGAAGTGGAAGGGGCTGTTCCCAGCTGGGGATAGAGGGTTCCTCTCTCCTCTGGTTCTGGCCCAACTTGGTGTCCTCTTCTTCAATCCCCTTTGTCTGCTCTCCTCTCCTTCTATTCTTTCTGCCCAGGGCATCTTTTCTTTGCAAGGAAGGGACCGCTTTGGGCTGTTCTCTGGGAGGCTGCAGGAGGCTGCCTAGCACGATGGCCTGAGCTCACCAATACCTGAGGATAGATGCCCCAGGAATCCCCTCTGCTACCCTGTGGCCTGCCGGCTAGCCAACTTCTGTCTGTGTTCTTCTGACTCAGGAGGCCCTTTGCCTGTCGGCACAGTTGGTGAAGAGAACTCAGGCTTTGAAATCAGAGAGATGTGAGTTCCAGCGTGGCTGGAAGGTGCTTCACTTCTGAGGGGCTCCATTTCCTTAGTGGGGAGAAGCGGCCCATGCTGCGCCTGGCAGGGTTGGGGGCATGGAATGAGGTCGTGTGTATATGGAGCCAACCCAGTAGGCCTTCACCTGCAGTGTGGGCTTGCGCTCTTTCTCTTCTGCCTGAGTGAGGAGATTTACTTGGCAGCTTTGTTTGGGGTGTGTGGTCCAATTTACTGGGAGACAAAATAGGGGCTGCATCTATTTGCTTGGGCTGTCAAACCAAGTACCACAGGCGAGGTCGCTTAAACAACCGAAATTAATTTTCTCACCGTTCTGGAAGCTCGAGGGTGTCGGCAGGGTTGGTTTCTTCTGATCACTCCGTGGTTTGCAGACAGCTGTCTTCTTGCTGTGTCTTCCCATGGTCTTCCCTCTGTGCCTGTCTGCGTCCTGCCTGCTTCGGATAAGGCCTACCAGTCCGGCCTCATGTTGCCTTGACTGCCTCCTGAAAGACTCTGTCTCCCAATACAGTCACATTCTGAGGTACAGGGGTTAGGACTCAAACAGATGAATTTGGCAGAGACACAGTTCTGCCCATGACAGAGACCTTGAACCAGAGCAGCTCCCCCACCCATCACTCATCATCCTAGCTCCCTTGCTTTAGGCTTTGGAGGTTTTTGAGTTTCCAGAGTCCCCTCTTGCGCCCTCGCTTGGGCAGCGCACACCCTAAAATTGGAACGACACAGAGGAGACTAGCATGGCCTTGCACAAGATGACATGCAAGTTGATGAAATTTTCCATCTTTAAAGAAAAAGTTCCCTCTCCAAATGGGCTTATCGCTAGGGTGGAGGCTCCTCTTATGGGCTGGCTCATAAGAGTAGAGGTTTGCCAAAGCCACTGGGATGGACACCAGGGAGGACGGCAACCCAGGAAGGAAGCTCCCTGGCCTGTGGCAGGTGTCTGGCCATTGCAGAGCGCACGCGGGCTCCCGGGGCTGATCCCAGGCCCAGCCATTTCCTGCAGGGTCTCTGTGAACTTGACTTTGCCATGTTGCCGGCTTCCCGAGGCCAGTCCATTCCCCACTTGCTTGACTGCTAGGCCTGGGTGTGGGGCATCGGGGAGCAGACGGGCAGACATCCCCATGGAGCAGGGTGGGATGGCAGGAGTTTGAAGCTAATCTTATTAGCAGCCACATCCTGCATCTCCCGAGGCTCTTCTCCGCCCCCGTGGCCCACAGCTCAGTGCCCACTCCTGGGCAGAAGGCAGATGGAGCAGGAGCAAGGCCCAGGGTTGGCACTGATCTCTGGACCTCAGAGACACTGCCACAGCCATTTCTCACCATCCAGGACAGGTCCCCGCAACCGACTCACTCCGTGCCTGGGGCAAGAAATTTGAGTCTCTGTGAAACCATTTCCTCTGGATGTGAAATGGGCCATACTACAGGATCCCATGACTAAAAAGGTCTCCCCGTCTCTATGGTGATTTCTGTGCTAGGAACATGTGTGCCAGGTTATGCTGGGGCTGAAGCATACAGTTCTTGTTGCCTGAGGTGGGGTCCGGGGGTCAGGGTCAGGGCCTGGTGGAAACACTTGAGAGATTATTAGAATACTCTGGAACAGGAGGATTGACCAATACTCTGGGGCAGAGGATATGGGGAGACAAAGCCACCTACCCGTGGGGTTTGCATCTCTCAGTTGTGTGTAGGAGCTGAGAAACTTAGGGATTTGCCCAGAGGTCTAATCATAGACTTTTAATCTACATTGATGCACATACACATCAAGATTTCCTCTTGGATGAGGTCTTGTATAAAAGAAAGCACACAACCTCCTTTGATCATCAAATAATAAGAACAGAGCCATCTGTCACATTTTCCTTTTTACCTTGGCCACCAGGAAGCTCTGGGAAAGATCTAGGGTTCAGTTGCTATACCTTCTGGATCTCTGGTTTCTGACACACTTCCCTCTTCCTTTCTCTTAGTTAATATTTGTCATTTAAATTATGTACAAGCATTAAAATTAAAGGAGACAGGACACAAGCTTGACTCCTTTGATATGGAATCGGGAATATGGTTAAGTACTGAGGTGTGTTTGTGTATTGGGGGGCAGTGATACTTCTGCCATTTATACGTAGGGACACAGAAGCCCAGCTTTCATGATCTGTAATCTGATTTTATTTAATAGCCCTTATTATATGCTAGGTGCTGTTGCTGTGCTTTACAAATATCAACTCAGGTGATCTTCGGAACAACCCTGGGACATGCATACTAGTATCAGCCCCATTTTGCGGATGAGGAAATGGAAGGAGATGAAAATGAAGGAACTCGCCTAGAGTCACGTGGCTATTACACGTCAAGCCAGGATCTGAATCCGGAGCCCACGCTCTAGGTCGGTGCTTTGGGACTTTGCAGTGCTGACAGCGGAGTCACCAGCCACGTGTAGCTACGGAGCACGTGGCCTGGGGCTTGTGTGACTGAGGAACAGAATTAAATCAATTTTAAAATTTGTGTGGCGACGGACCACTCTATGAGACCATGCAGCTGGGAAGCACCACGCTTTGCCTCCTCGCCCCCATTCCTGATGCTGGTGGGAAGGTGATCGGGGGGCAACCCAGTGGAGTTGAGTACAATCTGCAGGAAGAACCAAAAGCCTGAATTCCTCCCCCTCCTCCTCTCCCTCCTCTTCCTTCTTTTTCAGCATCACAGCTAAGATCTTCTGAGCACTTACGAGTCTCACTTAGTTCTCCCCCAAATCCTTGGATGTAGGTACTTTCCCTAATATACCTGTTTAACAGAAGGGAGGACTTGCACTCGGAGAAATAAATGTCTTGTACAGAATCGTGCAGCCAGTAAGTGGCTGAGCCAGAATTTGCACCAAAGTTTAAATGACTCTAAAGCCGCATTTTCTTTTCTTTTCTTTCTTTCTTTCTTTCTTTCTTTCTTTCTTTCTTTCTTTCTTTCTTTCTTTCTTTCTTTCTTTCTTTCTTTCTTCTTTCTTTCTTTCTTCTTTCTTTCTTTCATCCTTCCTTTTTCCTTCTTTCTTTCTCTCTTTCTTTCTTTCCTTTCATCCTTCCTTTCTTTCTTTCCTTCTTTCTTTCATCCTTCCTTTCTTTCTCCTTTCTTTTCTTTCATCTTTCCTTTCTTTCTTCTTTCTTTCTTTCTTTCTTTCTTTCTCTTTCTTTCTTTCTTTCTTTCTTTCTTTCTTTCTTTCTTTCTTTCTTTCTTTCTTTCTTTTTCTTTCTCTCTCCCTCCCTCCCTCCCTCCCTTTCTTCCCTCCTTCCTCCCCGCTTTCCTCCCTTCTCTCTTTTTCTTTCTTTCTTTTCTTTCTTTTTTTTTTTTTAAAGATTTTATTTATTTATTTGAGAGAGGCTGAGAGCACGAGCAGGGGGGAGGGATAGAGGGAGAGGGAGAAGCAGACTCCCCACTGAGCAGGGAGCCCGATGCGGGGCTCAATCCCAGAACTCCAGGATCATGACCTGAGCCGAGGCAGATGCTTAACTGACTGAGCCACCCAGGAGCCCCTCTTTCTTCCTCTCTTTATTCCTCCCTCCCTCCCCCCACTTCCTTCCTCTCTTTCCCCACCTTTTTTTTTTTTAAGTAAAATGTGCTCCCCTTCTGACTCCGTAGGTCACATGCCTGTCAGTTTCCACCAAAGTAGAGTGTCTGTTGTTGACTAATGTCAGCATTTCTGAAGGAAGGAGAGAGGAAGACAGAGGTAGTGAGCAGAGTCCAGGGAAGTGCTGGGTCAGCACAGACGCTGACCAGCCAGTGAGGAGAACATGCATCACGGGGAAGGCTTGGCGGGCATCAAGAGACAGCCAGAGAACCACCACCTACCTACCGGTGGTTCCTCTAGGTGGTGCCCAGAGAACCTAGGACCAGCCGCACCTCCACCAAGAAAGCTCTGCACTCTGGGAGAAGAGTCAGAATGGGACACCTTAGTTTCCTCATCTGTCAAATGGGGACAAGGATGATTCAATAGGATAGCGTCTGAGAACCCGCCTGGCAGATGGAACAGCGCTTGCCTTTCCTGTCTCAGAGCTGGTCTCTGGAGTCGGAGATCCTGGGAGACCTCGCAGGGGAGAAGCACAAAGCTGTCTCCACCGTGGGCGAAGGGAAGGCAGATGGCTTGTTCGCTGAGGGGTCGGGGTGGGCGGTGGGGGCTGTAGCGCATGGCTGTCAGCTGAGATCACCGCCTCCTCTCTTCCAGCTGCCTGGGGATATTATGAAGTTGCAGAGACAGGGAGAGGAAGCTCAAGCTTGGGGGCCTCTTTGGGGGGCTAAGGAGGGGAGCAGAGAAGGAGGACGTTAATGAAAAAAACATTTCTCGTTCAAGGTGACTGAAAGGTTTTGAGGCTGGTTGGGTCAGGGTCTGGCTGTGGCTAAAAACAAGTCCCCCAGATGTGAAGGAGCCAGGCTTGGGACAGCTGCTGAGGGGCAGGCTATTGCAGGCCCAGCTGACTGACCCTCTTGGGGCTACCGACCTCCAAAGACCCCTGACTCTGGACAGACACCTGAGACGGGGCAGCTGTGAGGTCCCGGGAGCAGAACATCTGGATGCACGTGGCTTGTCCTGCCCATGGTCTTCCTCTGGCTTTGCAGACTCCAGTCCGCCCTACTGCCTGTCTCTGGATTATGTGTGGGCACGGGGAGGTGAAGGTGCTGCTGGAAGCTTCCAGCCTGACCCAGAGATGACAGAGGCCGGGCCCAGCCTGAGAAATGGAAGAACCTGCCAAGACAGGAAGGCTAAGATGGGTTTCTGGGGGCAACTCCTAACTCAACTCCTAACTTTTTCCCTAGATAATTTCTAGACTGGCACAGAATGTGCCATGTCTGCCACGCGTCTGAATAAGGGCCCCTCCCATGAGAAAAAACCAGCTTTCATAGCCAGAGCTTGTCCTTGAACATGACTGACGGGTAGGCCTTCCCATTTCACAGCTGGGGAACTGAAGTTTGGAAAGGTGAGGACCTGACACTAGCCAGCCGAGCGAGGGGTGGGGCCGAGATCCCAGTGTAAGGAGTCCTTTGCAGTGTATGCCCCCTCTGCCCACTTTCTTCTAGATGCTGGGGAAACTTCAGAAGGCCCAGGGGACACCAAAGGAATAGATCAAAGCCACATGGAACCAAGAATAGGCCCCGCATCATGCTGGGACCCCCATTCCCTCCTTGAAGCCCGATTTCATCATGACTGGTCATCATCCCTCCAGTGGGAAAAGGGGCCCCTGCAGTGTGTTTTAGGATCACATGCAGCACACTTCATTCCCTTGAAAAATGGTTTTCCTTGGGAGTGAAGCGCTGCACACAGATGCATCTTTCACCCCTGTGAGCCCCGCGAGGGTGGGGACCACACCACCCCTTTCCTGACCCCATCAGCATTTGTAAGGGCCCAGCTGCTTGAGAAAGTTGTAAAAGATGCTCAAGACTGTGAGCTGATCCCATGGGGATGCCCGGCCTCTGGAAGTCCCCCTGTTGGGCATCTGAAAGTCTTTACAGGCCAGATGGCGTCTTTGCCCCTCTCCGATTGGTGAACCATCATCTCTGGAAGAGACCCCAGGGGTCATCTCAGCCAACTCCTTTTGGGCCCAGGTGGGTGAATGGAGGGGCCCAAAGCAGGAGGGGCCCTCCCCGAGTGAAGACTGGAGGGGGGCTCCTGACCCTGGCTGGAGGGCCTTCCAGGAGCCCACACTGATTTTCCGGAGAAGGGCCAATGTGGATGGAGCAGGAAGTAGATAGTCAGGAGCCTGCTTACAGGTTCTGAAAGGGGGCAGCCCCCGGAATATTCAGAATATGCATGGTGCGGTGGCTTGCCCAG